TCGAAGGTTCGAGGTTTGATGCCTTTGAGTATGTAGTGCAGTCCCCAATGCATGCCTTGTACACACATCTCGATCCAAGAGATCTCCGATAGCCTATCTTTGCAGTCGAGACTTAGAGTCTTCTATCAATTGGTATAGTCAACGACTAGCTCATCCTTCTACTGCCTTGTACTTGTGAGCTCCATCATGCTGATAGTGCGACGAGCACTATATAAACGGTTCAAGGATTGTTGCCCTCTGTCTCAATCAAACGCGTTCCCTTTCAGAGAGCGGACAAACTGCTTCACGAGGTAGTTGCCCTTTGTCCCAAAATTGTTGCAAGTTTCGACAAAATGAGTGACGTGTTGCTTTAGGTTTCCTTTTCTGTCGAACTTCAAGAACTTAGGAGGTTGGTAGCCTACCGGCATCCACAAGCGATCAATTAATCTGGTGTATGGTTTGGAATATATTAATGTATCCTGAGAAGTACCAGTGTACTGTTCTTTGATCGTATTTAGGATCAAGTCCTGAAGTCGTATGATGGAAAGATAGCCCATTGATGTATCAGCCTTGTCTTCATGAATTGGCTCTTTCTCGTCAGGTGGATTATTATTCTTCTTTGGGTTAGGGTTGACTTATTCATCATTCGACGACCCCAACTTGCTCATGAGCATAACGCTCTACATGTCATTTTCCTCGACAGTTCTAGTCAGCCTTGTGATCGCCTCGTTCATCTGTGCAAGTTTTTCTTAGATGGAGCTGGTGTCGGTAGTTATAACCTCCATAACCAAATGATATGAGTCTCCCATATACGTCAGAGGTGTCAGCGAAGTCTTCTGGAAATGGTCGCTGGTTGGCGATCCATGGTAAGATCCCGTGCTCGAGTCTGCATCTGAAATCAGTGACATAGAACGCTCATTTGCATTCTTTGACACTGAAGATCCCTACTTGTCACTTTGACAAGTCTTCTCATGTGTTGCAGAAGAATGCTTTGGTGCGCTCAACGAGGCTAAGTTGGCGACATGCTCATGTGACTGATGCTCCCCTTGTTCTCTCTGTAGCACGAACCCGGGTGGTGTGTTGAATCATCACCACCATTGTCTTGCTCCCTGTCATGACACCGACAGATTCCTTGCCTGTAGCAAAAGTGCTAATGTTCTTGCCTTAATTGCGAGAGCAGCTTGATCCTTCTTTGAAGCCATTGATTTTGTTGGTTTGTTTGGATTATGAACCAAGAAAAGATGAGAGGCAAAGATTGTCCCATTGGGCGTGCCAAATTTGTACACAGAAGAACATGTGTACAAAGTGATTTTATTGATGAAAAATTAGGGTTACAAACCCTGTTACAAGATTTGACTCTTCTGATTTGATCTCCAAAAATGCAAAGTGTAGATGTAGAGTGAGTGATTCGAGGGTCGTAGTGACTTGATCTCGAATTTGGCTTGTGGCGACGGAATAACTGACACGTGTAGTGGTGCTTGATAGTTCTTCACGAGTGTGGTGAATGACGTAGAGAACTTTCTTATTCTTCTAAGTGTTGGAGAGCGTTTGGAGGCTTGAGCGTCTAAGTGTGAAAAATATGTTTTCTGAGAGTCCCTTGTTGGTCTTGGAGCCTCATATTTATAGACTTTTTAAGTCTTGATGTTGGCTTTATTTTGATTTGGGCTTGGTTAATGGACTAATGGACCGAGCCTTGCTTTAGGCTTGGTTCATGACTTGAGCCCACTAAATAATCTTTAATTAAGTTATCTTTCACATCTCATTTTTAATTTGATCACGCCAAATGTCGAAACGTGACACCCTTGATGACTGGTCTAATTTCTCGATGAGACATATGCCTTGTGTATAATTTGTCAGACACACGTGACATATGCCACGTAAGCCCTGACATGTCCAAAAAACTTAATTTATCGATGATATTTATTTCATTGAAATTTCGGTGCCTACAGTGCCGAATCAAAAAACACGGAACAATCACAAGCATGCATGCTCCTAAGTCAAACATAAGTGTATTAGTATAGACACATGGTTTTTCAACGTGAACGCATGCGCGATTTGTTCATGATTCACAAAAGTCCCTTCTGCAGTCAATTCTTCAATTAAACCCAAAGCACACTCTCATTTTTGCCAAAAGAATCTTTTGTCATGGTCATATGAAATAAAGGAGAATACCAAACGTAAAAAGAAAGTATCAATCAAGCATCATTAAACTCTTAGTCTTTGAAGAAAAAATTTGAAGATAAATTGCCAAATTACATTTATGAAAGACTCCAAAGTGATGAAAGTCCTTGACTTGAACTTTGGCCAAATTGCCAAACTGCATTTCTGGAAAACTCCAAAGTCATGAAAGACTTTGACCTGGACTTTGGCCAAATTGCCAAACTGCATTTATGGAAGACTCCAAAGTCATGAAAGACTTTGACCTGGACTTTGGCCAAATTGCCAAATTGCAAGTATGAAAGACTCCAAAGTCATGAAAGAAAATTTTAATTTTAATTTTGAATTTTGAATTTTAACCTTTCCCCAAGCCTCTTCAAATCATTGGACTAAACTAAAAAAAACAATAGGGGCAAAATACTGTTTACTATCCTCATGTTTCGTGATTTTCAACATTTAGTACATCAAGTTTTTTTTGTCCCAGAGTCATATCTAAAGTGTAAATTTTGGGACAGTCTCATACATCCGTTAGTCAAACTGTTAAGTCTCCCGTTAACTGTGACGTGCCGCTCATGTGGACAATGACTGGGCGCCACGTGTCACCCACGTGGAAATTAAAAATATATTATTTATAAAATAAAAAAAATAAAAAATTATATATATATATATATATTAAAAAAAAAACCTTCATCTTCCCCAGATTTGGGGGAAGAAGAAGAAGAAGAAGAAGGAGAAGGAAGAATGAGGAAGAAGAAGAAGGAAAAAAAAACCGAAATCTGTAACCCAGATTCGGAGGAAGAAGAAGAAAAAGGAGAAGGAAGAAAGAGGAAGAAGGAGGAAGAAGAAGAAAAAAAAAACCGAATCTGCAACCCAGATTCGGAGGAAGAAGAAGAAGAAGAAAAATAAAAATAAAAACCAAATATGCAACCCAGATTTGGAGGAAGAAGAAGAAGAAGAATGAGAAGAAGGGGAAGGAAGAAGGAGGAAGTAGAAGAAAAAAAAAAAAAACCGAATCTGCAACCCAAATTCGGAGGAAGAAGAAGAAAAAGAAGAAAAAAAAAGGGAACCCAGTTCGTCCCCCCCTTAAAAAAAAAAAACCCAACCCCCTGCAACCTAGAAGAAGAAGAAAAAAAAACGAACCCTAGAAGAAGAAGAAGAAGGGAAAAAAAATAAAACGTGGATGACACGTGGCGCCCAGTCATTGTCCACTGGGCGCCACGTCACAATTAACGGCAGATTTAACAGTTTGACTGACGGATATATGAGACTGTCCCAAAATTTACACTTTAGGTATGACTCTGGGACGAAAAAAACTTGATGTACTAAATGTTGAAAACCACGAAATGGTAGTAAACAGTCTTTTGAGCAATGATAGTGGTAACACCTGCTCTTGGGTAGCCCAGCGACGCGCCAGATGCATCTCACGCGACAAGGCATCAACTATTGGATCCCATCGCTGACGCCCCTGTCGGCCACTACCCACAAGGTAGACTTAGGGCAAGTTTGGGATTGCTATGATTTTTTTTTCAAAACTGCTTTTATTGTGCTGTAAAAATAAACAGTTGTGAAAAAAATATGTAAGTGTATTGTTAAACTATAATGCTAAAATTGATGGGGAGTAAGATTGTCATTGTGAAAGTATCATTAATTAGTATTATTCACCTACCTCCATTAAAAAAAAAAAAAACTTTTTTGAGAAGCATGTCTAGAGTTGTTTTTGCTTTCAGTTGTTTTAGACCTCTGATTTTGGGAAAAAAAAACTTTTTTTTTTATTTACCAAACACGATTAAGGACTCAACTTTTTCAAGAAACAGCTTTAAAAAACAAAATTAAGCAACCCCAAACTAGCCATAATTAAGTTTTCAAAAATATTAATGCTCCTAGAAGTTGAACATAATACTGTTGTAAACATTCCTAGTTTAAGTGTGATTGTGTAAATCCTAGATTTGATTTGATTCTAGTTATCATTTCCTATTGTATCTTGTATTCCTTGGGGATGAAGGAATATCTTCTATTACTATAAATAAAGGCATAATGTAGGAGGGATAACAACACACATTCCCCTACAATTCTACAAACACATCTCTATTCTTTTTCTCCTTGTCGTCGGCCCTTTCTCTCATTGTCAGATAAATAGACAACAACACTTTATCAGCATGCTCCTACCGCTGCGCTTAGGAATCTGATGTTAGAGAATTATTCTGCATCAAACCAGTTCATCCATATCATCACGCAATCAGATTCTTTCAAAACAACGATTTTTAACTCGATATTTTTGCAGCCCTGATAGTATGAACATTCACTATGATGCATGACCCAACTTTACGTTTTACGAATTTTAGATTCTACATAAATTGTGTATGCCTCATAATCATAATTGTTGAATTATGTGAATTTGATATTGGTTATGAATTGCATCAAATATATATGTATATGCATCACATTGAATTAAATTAACATATTATTGTTTTGAATATGCATATAATTGAATTGAATTGAAAAAAAAAAGAAAAAAATTAAAATCGAAAAAGGCAGCGCTAGGGTTCTTCGAACCCAGGACCTCAACTCGCCCAAGCCCGCAGCCTGTGTGGCTGAGCCAAGCCAAGCCACTAGCCGAGAGCCTACAACTCTCCCTCTCCTCAGAAAACCTCACTCGCCCGCAGACAAGTCACGTCACCACCGCTAACTTCCATGAAAAACACGACCTGAAGTTGTGATTTTTTGGGACAATTTCATCGTCTCCGACGATATTCAATTATATTCCCGTCGAATTTCATTATGATTTCAAGGATTTCGATTCTAAATCCTTATGGTTTTCACACCCAAATGTTGGGCAATCGAAATTTCCGTTTAAATATAGGGTTTCAGTTCAAACTCGTGCTTCCCCCCAACCGATTACCACCTAGAACACGGCCACCAGCAGTGGCGGCGCTTCGACTACCTTTACCAGCAAGCACTGGGGTGTTTTTTGGTTTTGACCCTGCACACGGTCCCAACACCAGCCCTTTGGGCTTTGGTGTTCTGTTCGAAGCCCACTGGAGAGACATTGTAATCTGGGCTCCCAGATTGCAGCCCATTCCCCCAACCTATTAAAAAAAAGAAAAAAGAAAAACAAAATAAATTTTGTTTTGGGCTCGCCTGCAGCAACCCATATGTTTTTATTTTCTCTCTGGGCTTGCCTATAGCAACCCACCCCCGCTGTCCCGTCCTCCCCATAGGCCTACAGCCTACACCCGAGTCCAAATCCAGCCCATTCTTGGGCTTAGAGTGCACGACACAATTTTATTAAGCCACCCTGTGGGCAGTGGCGAAGCCAGGATTTCTCGGGGGGAGGGGCAAACTTAAAACAAATTACAATTGTTGTCGATGAGGTTTCATGTCATGAAAACGTCGCATAATAGGCTCATTATCAATAAAAGCAAATACATCTCTCTCAATGTAAACAACCATGCTTTCACTCAACCATTGATCTCCCATTTTATTACGCAATGGTGTTTTCACAATCTTCATAGCAGAAAAAGCTCTCTCCACCGAAGCGGTTGCAACCGGTAACACCAAAGCCAATGTAAGAAGCTTATACACTAACATATAGCTTTCACACCTCCCAGTCTTCACTAACTCTTTTGCAAGATCACTGATTCCTCTCAATGATGAAAACTCACTATGCATCTTCATATCTTGAATGTAATTGTCAAGTTGAATTGGAAGATTCATGAGGTCCATACGATCAAAATCTTGAGGATAAAGTTTGGCTAAACGAACAATTTTTTCTTTGTCAAAAGATGCAAAATTATTCACTGGACTCAAACATGCCATACAAAGAAGCAACTCGGTGTTTACCTCATTGAAGCGATCATTCAATTCCTTTAGTTGCATATCAAGGACTTGAAAATAGAGGTCTACACGATAGTAATGGAAGTTTGTGATTTTTGGAGCTTTACGCCTTGATTTTCCAGGTACGAAATGCAAATCCTCCATGTTAGGAATGACAATATCATGCTCCTCACAAAACTTTTCTACATCATGCAACAAGTCCCCAAAGTCATCATCTCTCAAGGATTGTAGTATTTGCTTACATACTTCCACTAACGACATCGCATTCACAATATCTTGATCTTTCTTTTGCAATGCTTGTGATAACTCATTTGTAATTCCCAATATAAGTCTCATCAAGAAAAGGTGAAACACAAAATCAAAAGTTTGTATGTCTTCGAATAACCCAGTAGCTTCACCAAGATTATCTTGGTTGCGATCACTTTTAATCCGTTCAACCACCTTCACCACGGCTTCAAACATAACAATAATACTAACTATAGTACCATAATGCGAGTTCCACCGTGTATCACATGGACGCATAAGGCTACTTTCTTGATTTAACCCTTTACCCGTTTCAAGATTACCAAGATGAAGAGCTTTTTGAATTTGTTCTTGTTGTTTATCTCTCAATGCATCACGACGTTTGCACGAAGATCCAATAAGATTCACCAATCTATTAGCATTGATGAAGAAATTGGCAACATCCTCATTTTCCTTTGCCACAAATACAAGAGCTAGTTGGAGTTGGTGTGCAAAACAATGAATATAAAATGCTTGAGGGTATTTGTTCAAAATCTTTGTTTTAAGACCATTTAACTCACCTCTCATATTACTAGCTCCATCATAGCCTTGTCCTCGTAACTTGAACATACTCAAATTTGTTGTAGCAAACACTCTCAATAGCCTCTTCAAGTGAGCTACTAGTTGTAGAGAAGACATGTTGAACACCCAAAAACTTTTCAATTGCTTCTCCTTTTTTGTTCACATAACGCAATACCACCGCCATTTGCTCTTTATTGGAAGCATCACGTGATCCATCAACCAAAAGAGAAAAAAATGTACCTTCCATATCTTTAGTGATTGCATTAATAGTTTCAATAGCACAAGCATGAACAAGATCCTTTTGAATATCGGAAGAAGTATACTTGAGATTCTTGGGACCATTCTCAAACACAACCTTTCTAACTTTCTCATTATGATCGGCAAGAAATTGCATAAGGTCTATATAATTACCCCTATTGCTCGATTTCAAAGATTCATCATGCCCACGAAAAGCCAAACCTTGTCGCAACAACCATCTTGTGCAATCAAGTGCTCCACTCAGTAAAGTGTGATAATTAACGCGAGCTTCATCAGTTTGCTTGATCACAAATGTTACAATGTGTTGTTTTTGTGTCATCAAGTCTTTAGCTTGTTGCATAGCTTTATTATGAAGACTTCCAGCACCTCCCTCGTGGACTCGAAAATTTTCGGGTCCTTTCCTCCAATTTGTAAACCCTTTTGTAGTGAAGACATCACTTCCACTACCACCCGCTTTATCAAAATCACATTTAAAAAGATAGCAATAACGGCAAAATGCAGCATCTTTTACTATACTATACTCCAACCACTTAAAATTATCAAACCAACCTGTAATAAAACATCGATTGTCGCTAGCTTTCCTTGGCATGATGTGAGACTTAGGTTGACAAGGTTCCTTTTGAAGGTAGTATCTACGAATTGCTTCACGACAATTAAGTGGATAATCAAGCATTCGACGTCTCAGTCCAGGGTCTGCCGGAAGATTAGCTAATATTTCATCCAACTCAGTAATCTCACTTTGTTGTGCACTACTCAGAATACTAGAAAGAGGAGGAGGACTACCCGGAATATTTGAAGGAAAATGAGGACTATCCGGAATATTTGGAGAAGGATTTAAGCACTGTTTCTTATAATATCGTTCTATTACGTAACTGTATAACGAAAGAAAAACAAATATATCTTAGACTCTTAGTCCTAGAGTAGACTACGAATTTAATTAATCAGTACCAACAATCATATCATATGAATAGTCAATTTTTATTCTACAGTAGAGTATGTAGACTACGAATGTAATTAATAAGTACCAACAATGCATTTAAATGAGTGTTTTAGTTAGTTGAATTGGGGTTCATTATGTTAATGTATATATAATGTATCAATCCTCTTTTATGTACTTCAAAAAAAAAATCAATAATCATAGTATTCATATGAATAATCTATAATCAATAACCATATAATTTATAACCCTATAATCCTACATCAATTAAACAAAAATTTATATTCAATAATCAATTAGGGTTTGAAATAAATTAAAATTTGTACCTTAATTGCAATTTGGAATGGTTGTGCAGTGTAGTGTGTTTGCAATTTCAGACTGATGTGTCTGGTCTTGGTGGCCAACAACTAGAAAGTGAAATCTGCTACAGGACATAAGGTTTTGTCGTGTGGGAGGGGGGAGGGAAGGGGGAAAAGGTGGGGTGGGGGGACTGACGGGATGGGATTTGGGGAAAAGGGTGAAGGGTTTTTAATTTCAAACGGAATGGGGATTGAGATGGGGATGGGGACCAGTGGTCCCCCCGTTCATAATTTTTTTTTATTTCATTCAACCAAAACGACGCCGTTTACCAAAAAATTTAAATTTTTTTTACCAGGCCCAAAACGACGTCATTTTGGCCTGGATTTTAAAATTTTAAAAAAAATCCCTCCCCGTCGTCTTCCCTGAGAGCTACCTCTATTTCTGGTTTCAGAACCTGGTGCTCCCCAGTTTTCGACCGAACCAGGGGGGTTCAAGAGTCGCTCCTGCCTTTGTTTTCCGGCGAGCGGATGGGCGAACACCCCCCTTCACTCCTACGTAGCTTCGCCTCTGCCTGTGGGCTTTTGCATTTCTTTTAGGCCCCAAGTTTTATTCGCCTAATTATTTTAGGCCCAATGGGTTTTATATTTTTTCGCTCGAAGTCCAAATCTTTAAAATTCAGTTATAATTATAAACCTAAAATTATATTTTTGCATATTCTTGTTGCATATTTGTTTGCATATATATATATATATATATTTGTGTTTGCCTACAGGAATATATGAACCTGAAGTTCATAATTATTTTGAAACCTGAAGTTTCTTATAAACATGCATTGTTTGAAAACCTGAAGTTTTTCATTTAAACACATCACCCATGAAAACCCGAAGTTTTTCATGCAAAATTAAACCAAATCATGTCTATTAGAACCTGTATGTTCTACTCCTACGTGAATTGATTGATTCTTCTCCATTACACTAACTACATCTTGTCCATCTATTTTGTGATAGGAACATGTCGAATTTGAACAAACTCGATTTCACCGCTTTAGAGGTCTATGGAAGGAACTACCTCAAGTGGGTCCAAGATATGAAGCTCCACCTCACTACAAAGAACTTGCGTCCTGCCATTGAAGAAGCAACGGACAAGCCTGTTGGCGAAACTGAAAAAGCCACTGCTATGATCTTCATCCGAAGACATATTCATGACGCTCTGCAAACTGAATATCTCGCTGAGGAGGATCCATGTGCACTCTGGGTCGCTTTGACTGATCGTTTTGATCACCAAAATGACATATTCTTGCCTGAAGTAAGACACGACTAGCAGCATTTGTGCTTCCAAGACTTTAAGTCTGTGAATGAATATAATTATGAAGTTTGTCGAATCCGATCACTTCTCAAGTTTTGCAATGAAACTTTGACTTAAGCGGATCTCCTGGAGAAGACATATTTGACTCTCTCTGCTTCTAATATTGTCCTGCAGCAATAATATAGAGCTCAGAACTAAGTTCTCGGATTTGATCTCTGTTTTACTTCTCGCTGAAAAGCAGAACCAGCTAGGGCTGGGTTCGGTTCGGTTCGATTCAATTTTTTTTCTGTTTTTTCTCGGTTCAGTTTTTTTTCGGTTCGGTTTTTCTGGTTCAGTTTCGGTTTTTTCATGACTTTTTTTTTAATCTGAAACAAATCTGCAAAGATTGATTGAGCACTGAAGAGAAAAACACAGAGAGCCTTTCTTGAACAAATCTGCCCTGGATCTTGAACAAATAAAGCTTTTTTTTTAATCTAGAACAAATCTGCCATGGATCTGACATTATTAGGTGTTAGTGCGCCTTTCTTGTTGTGGATTTGAGAGCTCTCGCAGAGAAAAACACACATGCATGTGTTAATTCTTTGATTTTTTTCCATGAAAATAAACCCAATAGAACTAAATAGCAGCCAACCAGGAGAGATTTTTACCTTGGGGGTTTTTTTTTAGTCCCAAACCTCTCGTCAGCCATGGCAACACCTATGCATCTGTTGCCAAATTGGAAGATTATACAAAATCCCAACAAAATAAAGAAAAACTCATTTTAATTCAGTAAATCACAATATAAAATTATAAATCATATTCGTTTTGATTTGAAATTTACCTGTGAGAGATTGGAAAACCCGGATTAGAATCTTCCAATTTGGAGGGGGTTCCAATTCGAAAGGGGCGAGGGAAAATCATGGTTTGGAAGAAGAGGAGAAGGACATGAGAAGACTGGAGAGAAAGTGATTTGGAGGAAGAG